GTCTTTCCCTCCATTCCAGCAGTTTTTATACTCAAAAGCAGTGCAAGTCAGAGCTTGGGAAATTCCTCTACAGCCTCTTTCTCAACCCCACAGCCTGTTCCCCCAGCCCACGTACCCGTGGTCATCGCCTGGTTGGAGGAAATGCAGGCCATGGTGACGGTGTGGGCCGGGGTTTTGTCGGAGAAACCCGCTCCCAAGGCAGCCTGAGACAACAAAGGGTGTCTGTTAAATCCACAGCTTCTGCTCCACGGGCCAGGGCTGCCTCCTGCCCAGCAGCACACCTCGCCAGGGGAAGCTGAAAACAGCCCCATGGATTTTCCATTCATTACTGCAGCAGCTCACCCCTTCCCCAGGCTGGAACAGGAGCAGTGCCAGGGCTCAGCTGCACTGTGAGAACAGTCACTGCCCCTCCACATTTTTTTTAATAAAGGGGGACATGCTAACCACACACCTCACATTTAAAAAAAAAAAAACCCACATTAAAAGAGCCTCCAACTACTGGACATCACCTCTGCTTCACCTCACTGGCAAAGGCAACACGTGGAAGGGCTGATTTAGACGGCTCAGCACGAGGTGCTGTGGCTTCACAGGGAGCAGAAAACCGCAGTGCAGAGAGCAGTGACTCATCTGACCAGCCCACAGCTGCTCCCAGACACCTTCCCCACTTGGGACACGGCCAACTGGTTGAAAGTTCAGCCGTTGTTCCCTGGCTAAAATTACCCTCCAGCCCCATCTGACTGGCGGGCGACCAAAGCTGGGATTTGCATTCACGAGGCCGAAGCTGCCTCGGCACCTCCCGAGCCTTCCCAGCCCAGGCTCCATCCCAGGCTCATCCAGGAGCACAGAAGAGCAGCAGAGGCTCCAGGTGAGCACAGATCATGCTGCCTCTGGCACAGGACCTGGGGCATCAGCTGCTCTGTGGGTAACACGGGAGCCGCGTTTCCCGGCTGCCGGAACAAAGGGCAGCGAAGCCGCTCCAGTTCCAGTCACCCCCAACCCTGTGTCTGATCTGCCAACTGAAAAAAACAAACACCACAACAAAGCAAACTCTCACAGCACACTCTGAGGACTTTGGGCAAGGCAGCGTTGGAGTCACGCTGGTGGTTAAGAGCTGAGTGATCAGCAGCTCTTAACAAAAGCTTCCCTTGCTGGGGAGGATCGAGCAGAGGCCTCACAGCATTAAAATGAACTAGGAAAACATGATAAAAAAACTACAATCGAGGAAAACTATGGCAGATTTCAACAGGAGGCAGAGTCAGAGAATCACAGGATAATTTTCCTTATAATCCCATGCAGTTGTTTAACAGACAATACTGCACAACTGCTTCAGACTGAAATCGCGTTTAAATGAACCGTAATGCAAAGAATTTAATTTTTAGCAAGTATTTGTCATCTTCAGACTAGTTGCAGAATCAGACTCGCAGGGAAACACTGCACATAACCCACCTCTCTGGCAACATTACTGGTTTTCACCTCCTGGATAACTGTGCCATAAACAATGTAATCCACAACGTCCTTTGGGACGTTGGTGCGGGTCAGCAGGCCCCTGAGGAGAGGATCAAAACAAAGGGAATTTGCATCACATCACTTAATAACCTCCCAAACATCCTCTTCCTGCCAGCTTGGCTGGAGAACAAGGCGAGGACAGAGCCACATCTTCTGCCCCCAGCTCAGAACAAACCCCCTCTGAGAGTGTGACTGAGCGTGGGCTGCAAACAATCTCAGTGGCAATATCACTACAAAACATGACATAAGTTCATGAAGGCAACTACTTTACAGCCCAAACACCCTCCTCCTTCCCCGAAATGGTTCATGGAATCATCAAATCCCAGACTGGTCTGGGTGGGAAGGGACCTTTGATGAATCCAGTCCCACCCCCTTCCACAGGCAGGGACACCTTCCACCAGCCCAGGTTGCCCCAAGCCCTGTCCAGCCTGGCCTTGGACACTCCCAGGGATCCAGGGGCAGCCACAGCACTTTGCTCTGACTCTCAACAAAACAAACCCAGTGCTAATGACCTTCAGCTTTTGTCAAATCCCTGCAGAACGAGAGGGACAGGCAGGGTGACAGAATTAGCTCAGTGTCCTTGTTGCTACTGAGTTTCCTCTGCGTAGCCCAGATTGTTTTTCCCAGCACTTGTAAGCACACCCCAAGAGCAGCTCTGATCTCTGTGTTTGGAAAACTGCAGTTAGGAACCAAATTCACTAAAATCTGTCAACACCAACCACCTCTTTGCACCAAGACAAGCCCATTGCAAAACCCTGTGCTTAAGCCACCTGCCACTGTGGAGGTGGCACAGGAAAGGTGAAGTCATACAGACAAGAGCAGAGCCTTGGCTTTCCAGCACTGCAACCCCAGCAGTGGAACAAGTTTTCTGAGCCCTTCTAGTGTTCAGTTCACTTACTGCAGTGCTGCCCTTGCCAGGTCGTGTGGCATCAGATCCGCGTACCTGGGAGGGGAAGGAGAGGCAGAAACTTAAGAGGTGTCAGAGACCAACCCAGAGTCCTGCTGTGAGCCCAGAGCAGCAGCAGCAGAGCTGGGCAGGCACCAGAAATGCTCCCCTGCCTTTCTGATCAAACATTTCACAGACTCATTTAGGTGGGAAGGAACAGGAAGCTCATCCTGTCCCACCCCCTGCCATGGGCAGGGACACCTCCCACCAGCCCAGGGTGCTCCAAGCCCCGTCCAGCCTGGCCTGGGACACTCCCAGGGATCCAGGGGCAGCCACAGCTTCTCTGCCCAACCTGTGCCAGGGCCTCCCCACCCTCACAACCAGGAATTCCTTCCCAATCTCCCATCTCTCCCTGCCCTCTGGCAGTGGGAAGCCATTCCCTGTGTCCTGTCCCTCCATGCCTTGTCCCCAGTCTCTTTCCAGCTCTCCTGAAGCCCCTTTAGGCTCTGGAAGGGGCTCCAAGGTCTCCCTGGATCCTTCTCTTCCCCAGCTGAGCACCCCCAGCTCTCCCAGCCTGGCTCCAGAGCAGAGGG